CTCAGAGACTTGGACTCTGCGCAGGCAGACGAGCATGCGGTCAGCGTTATCCAACGCGCTGTCGAGAGGACGATGCTAGGAGTAACCCTATACACGCAAGTGCAGAGGGGAATCCGGAGTTCCGAACTACGCCAACGATCGAAGATCAGGGACGCTGCCGTTTTCGCCAAGGAATCGAAGATAAGGTGGGCCGGACACGTCATGCGATTTTGCGATGACCGTTGGACCAGAGCGGTTACCGACTGGATCCCTCGGGACGTCAAACGAACACCTGGACGACCGCCGGCCCGATGGTCAGACTTCTTCACGAAAGCTCTGAACGAAAGGAATGAAGGACTTCGTGTCCCTCGAGCGAGGAGGATCCACTGGACAACTCTAGCACGCGACAGGGACGAATGGAGACGTTGCTGGCGCCCGCTCGAGCAAATTCGATGATCAACGGGACGACAGGTGATACAGGTGATACAGGTGATGGTTTCAGTGAACAGGTTGCGACTCCACAAACGTGAGTCTGACATCCACCTGAACGCTTCCCAGTGAAGCGGTACCACTGTGCCAGACCACAGGTCTTGCACGATTCCCATTCCAAGAATACCTTGCACCAAATGAAGGCCTGTCGAAAACCAAGGTCAGGCTCAGCTGTGTCATTTGCGGCCCTCATGAATTAGAACCTCTGCATGATGTAGCGGAATCCACACCCAAAGCGACATGCGCCTTTTAGGGAGATGATTGTCAACACAGAACAAAGGATGAGCATTGAGAGAAATTACCAACCGAATGCATGTCGCAAAGTGGTCGTTCGATTTTAGTCGGAAATTCAGGAAAAATTGTAAATTTGTAGGGAAAGGGATGAAAAAGGCGTGGTGATTGAAGATATGATCTAGAATACGACGGCCACTCGATGTAGCAAAGGGTTACGTACGCGATATCCGCTGAAGAGAATTTTATCGTAAATACACCAGATCTGAGCTAAAAAAGTAATATAAAGAAATGTTGAAGACTATAATAGGCAAAACTGAGTTCGGCAGACCATAACCAGGCTCGACCGTCTTCCGAGGCTAGTTTGTGCTGTCGTTGAAAATGAGATGATTCAGCAGAAAGAAGGCATGCTCTATTTGGGTTCAAGCACGGCACCGATAAAAATTGCTCCATATCTTTACCTAAGGATAAAACGATCTCCTACCGAAGAGTTCTCCATTTGATGCACCTCTCACCGTGTTCCCACAAAATGAAGAAACGATGAAGGCTGCCATGGAAACGCGCTCGCGGTGGGGTTGAGTACCATTTGAGTGTTATTTATCCTACAGAAAACAAATGAAAGGAAGAATCTCATATCTTGAAGTAGGCATTATACTTCGGTAATGACCATCTAAAAATAATGTACTTCAGATATGTGGTATCGACATTTTGGAAAACTATTTACCTCTTTAGGTAAATCAATTTTTCGCAGGAAAAGGAAGCTCAGGAGTGGTTGTGAGTGCGGAAGCAAGGTGGTTCACGAACCCCCCGGACTTTTTTAGGAAGAGCGTAAAGCTCACCGGCGACGCGGAGGCGAACGCGTCCCAGT